GCGCAGGGACCATTGCCAAGTGTTTTTTGTTTTGTTTTGTTTTTAGCCACAGTGTCAATAATCTACAGGGATGATTCTATGTTGGAATAACTGGAAGATTCAGACACACATGTTTCAATGCTTAACTAAAGAAATGAAGCTATATTAGGACAACTATTTCTTGCTGGATTTTTTAATTAATACACGGTTCTGGTGGAAAAAACAGAGATGCTACTGGAGGAGGAGGAGGAGGAGGAGGAAGAAGAAGAAGAGAGAAGAAGAAGAAGAAGAAGAAGAAGAAGAAGAAGAAGAAGAAGAAGAAGAAGAAGAAGAAGAAGAAGAAGAAGAAGAAGAAGAAGAAGAAGGGAAGAGGAGGGAGGAGGGAGCAAGAAGAAGAGAGGAAGAGGAGGAGGAGGGAGGAGGAAGAAGAGGAGGAGGGGAAAAAAAGAAACTGGTATCAAAGTAACAGAATATCAGAATAAAACCAGTATTCTTTTCCTGACTCAGATTGCAGGCAATAAAAGCTTAGACACTCTATTTGTAACAACTGAATTCTGATTCTGTAAGAAGAATTGTCTAGCATCTGTCGCAAGCTGGAATTGGATTCTATTGATGAGTGGTATTAAAAAGGTAGACTATACGCTATCACAGAAGATACAATGGGGGTGGGGAGAGATATGGGCAGGAGTTTCAAGCTCAAATAACAGATACACCACAAAATAAAGGAGAAAAAGAAAAGAGTTACTAAACCAGAAAAAGAGGTTAGCAGTGACAGCAAGATAAGGAGATTTTGCTTAATTGAATCAAAACAAGAAAAGATAATAACCAGAGGCATCTTCCAGTTGCAATCCTTTCATTAAAAGGAAGAAAGCAACTTTGCTGTTTTCATAGCAGTAGGCAAAGTCACAATATGCCCACAAAAAGGGCTGGAGCTTCTACCACAACATTGTGATGCTTCTCTGCTCATTCGATAGATCTATCCCCAGCCCACACCCCTGCTTTGACCATATCTGCAGATAACTAGGATGGTAAAGGACCAGTTGAAAAGGAATTGAAACTTTGTTCTACCTCTTGATTGAACAATCTTGTCATATTTGATTTCTCTTTGTAGTTAGACCCTACAAGAAGCAGAGAAAGAGTGGGGTAATTTGTAAGGTCGATGCCTGGAAGAACCTTGGACAAGCTTTGAAGTAAAGACAAAGAGAACAGCTGCCTTATGATCTGGTTCTTACACAGTAAACAGCTTCAACCAAATATCTTGGCTGTCTTGGAGTATGTTTTAGCTCTGCTTACATCATGCAAGATGGAGAACTTGAAGACTGACTGATTTTTATAGGGTCACATGTCATCTCTTACAAACCACACAGATAGATTTTCTCCATGATAATCTGTCCTTAACCTGGTCCTTCAGGTATCCCAGTTCCAGCCATTACCACTATAATTGAATCCATCCAATTGTTGCTGGTCTTTCTCTTCTTCCCTTTGTTCCAACTTGCATTAACAAATTCTGCTTTTTTTTTTTTTTTTTTTTTTTTACAGACAGGCTTGCTATAGAAAACAAAACCCCATGGAGCCACATTAGCTATTTCTTGCCAAGAAGATCACTTGTTTATTTCAGTTACCGTCACCAACATCATCATGCTAACTGCTAATTACTACTAGGAGGAGCTTGTATGAGCAACTTCTGGTCTGCAGAAGTTTATTGATATCTACAGTGGATATCAATAAAGCGATATAGGACATAGGCATGAAAAATCAGGTGCCAAATGCCTCAAAGAATTTCAAGGAGAAAAAAAACTGGAAAGAGAAGTTGGTTGGCTACAGTTGAAACTTGTATGTGTCAGACCAGTGTAGTCCTCAATTTACAACAGTTCATTTAAGTGACCATTCAAAGTTACAACGGCATCATTTTTCACATTTACAACCGTTGCAGCATCTCTGTGTTCACATGATCAAAATTCAGATACTTGGCAACTGGTTCATATTTATGACGGTTGCAGTGTTCTGGGGGGGGGCATGTGGTCCTCTTTTGTGATCTTCTGACCAGCAAAGTCAGTGAGGAAGTCAAGTTCATTTAAAAACCGTGTTACTAACTTATCCACTGCAGCGATTCACTTAACAACTGTGGCAAGAAAGGTCGTGAAATGGGGCAAAACTCACCTATAAAATGTCCCACTTAGCAACATAAATTTTGGACTCAGTTGAGGTTGTAAGGCAGGGGCGACCTGGCGTCTTTCCGAAATGCCAATAGCACTAAATAAACTCAACTCGTTTTGACTAAAACTCATAATATTCACTTGACATCGTAACTTTTCAGGAGTCAGGGATTGGATTCATGTTAGCAGAAGGCCATCAGGACTTGAGCCACTTATGACAAATGCATCAGTCTGTAATCTTCTCATAAAGACATTAAATATATCAAGACAGATTTACCTCAGAGTCTCAAAGGCTGGACATTTGTTTTTCTCTCTGTCCAGTCTCTTAGAATCTGCTTTGTGATGGGTGATTGCATTTAAATTTACAGTTCATCATTAATCCTTTGTTCTTGGTTCAGCAGCTTCCTGTCTAACAGTCTGAAACCTTTCTCTCAATAGCTGACTAAATGTGCACTTGACACATTAACATAAATGTTTATATTCCCCCTTTGCACAAGCTATGCTCTCAAACCTACGCATAAGTCTTTTTTCATTGCTCATGCTATGTCATAATTTTGTGTGGGATTCTAAGGATTGTTCATTATAAGAACATGAAAGAGAATTGTTCTGTACCAAGCATTCTTTACTTTAGAATCCACTTGCAGATTATTAAAAGAGATTGCTTCAAATCAAGTCCCTGAAAAGAAGAATGAGGTAAAGAGAAAGGACAGAAGGAATGAAAGAAGGAAGGAAGGAGAAAAAGAGAAAGAGAAAGAAAGAAAGAAAGAAAGAAAGAAAGAAAGAAAGAAAGAAAAAGAAATCATAAGGATGGTTGAATACTTTATTTGAAATAACTTCAATAGTTCTTTCTTTTTTAAAAATGTTAAAACTTTGGGGGACAAATTAGACAAGGCGTTAACATGTTCCTCTGCATCTTATGCATATACTTTCTCTTTTAAAATAAGAATAAAAAAAAATAAAAGGAATGTGAATAACAGCGATAGAGAAAAATAAAAGCTATCAAGATTACAAAATCACAACAGATGGAGAATAAACCTTCTGCTTTGCTGCTTCAATGGATTTTCCAAAGTTACTATTTACAGTATATGGTGTATGGGGGGGGGGGGAGGATCCATTCTGGTGGCTATTCAAATATAGCTTTTTTCAACTTCAGTGTAGCTTTTTTTCTTGTCTTGCTTTCCAATTATACCAGGAGTGGAAACATTTACTACAATCCTCACAGTTATCAAATATAGGCTGTTGTCTATATTGCAGGTTCATCTTTGAAGCCACAGCTAATGGAAATAAAAATAAATAAATGTACCTTAACCTGAGCCATATGATTTTTTTTTTAAAAAAGAAAGAAATATGCATATTATATGCAAAGACTCATTGAACATCCATTCCATTTCTGGTGGCTAATCCTGTAAGCCGTTTCTCTTCCTAATCCTTCCTAAAAAGATCTGCCAAATAATATTGTTCCAAAAATGACTACCTGTTGCCAATATACTGTAGGTTGGGTTGTCGGCAGACACACAAATTTATCCTGCACTGAATCTGGAACCACCAAATCCTTTCCTTGTGGAAGTTTGAAAGCGATGAGATGTTGGTTGGGGAGCACTTTTCTTCAGATATATACACTACACAAACGTTAAAGTTGTAAGCTATGGTTTATGAAGTTGGGAAATTTGATGTGGATCTCTGCCTTTTACATAGCTCTGCTACTGTGTACAGAGATATACGGAGTGACATGCTTTATGATTATTCTTTAGATGCTTGTGAACCCAATTTTTGAACATTTGGGAGAGTGGAAAATGTTTCAGATATTGCACCCATCCATTCAACAAGCTGAATGTCTCCCCCCCCCCAAAAAAAAAGACAAAGATTTTTTTTTCTCCCAAGTACTGGGTGTTGTGAGTATAAGCTGTGTTTACAGAATATCCGCTTAACAATAACAATAATACTTAGACTTATATACCACCCCACGGTGCTTTACAGCACTCTCTGGATGGTTTACAACAATTATCTGGGTCCTATTTTATTGAGCTCAGAAGGATGGACGGCTGAGTCAACCATGAGCTAGTCAGGGTCAAGCTCTTGGCTGCGGGCAGAATTAGCCCTCAATACTACATTCTGACTGATACTAATCCCATGGATCCCATGGAAAGGCCAGCCTTTGAGTTCAAGAAAATGGTGGAGAAATGCTAAGGAATTAAAATCTGCTAAGGTGATAGCTGAAATCCAAATTAATCTTCACACTCCATTTGAGTTGTGACATCCCTGCAGCAAGATTGCTGTCTTCTGACTTGATTCATATGTGTGAAGCCATAGTTTGCTTAAACAAGATCTACTGAGCAATATTACACAATATTCTAAACCCTAATCTCTGCTCCCCAACCTCAGTGGTGTCAGGTAAAGACTAAACACACATTTCCATAACATGCTAAGCTTATTGAGTATTTAGTTCTGTTGGGTGTTTTGTTGATTAACATGTTGTTCAAACCTACATATTGGATTGACTTATTGTTGACTGTAGGGTAAAAATCTCTACTTGGATTGGAAAAAATCTGATGAAATGCAAGATGAGCAAAAAGCTGTTCTTTTTTCCTTTGCTCTCTTCTAATAATGGTCTAAAGTTATATAGAGCAGACAGCTATATTAAATGTTGTGTTGACCAAGCTGTTGTGGGCAGAGATATTTGCATTTGATCAGTTCTGATTAATGCACACATATATACTTCTATAGGATCACAGTCTTTGACCTGGACATGCAAGCATATGACCATCAACATGTGTAAACCAAAGCTGCCTATCTTAGATGGGTATGAAGTGCCTATTCTAATAACATACAAATCCTTTAGTTACTTCTTCAATCAGAACCTAGACATTTAAAAACAAAACAAAACAAGGAAAATATTTATTGTGAATATTCCCAGCTGATCAACTGACATGTGATTGTTAATTGTAGGCAAATGGATGAAGTTCTATTGAGTGAGAGGAAGTCTCTTTCCAAGCTCAGGTTAAGACATTGGATGGTGAACGTCAAGACTGACAGAGCTGCAGAATGGAGAATTTATAGCAGGCAAGGATTTTGTCTGATTCCGTCATAGCCTTCCAGTGTGCTCTTTTTTGTTTGTTTCAACAATCAGTGCAATGGCTTATCTCCAGAAGTTGTGGGTGCTCCATCACTGGAGGTTTTCAAGAAGAGACTGGGCAGCCATTTGTCCAGAATGATATAGCAGCTCCTGCTTGAGTGAAGAGTTGGATCAGAAGACCTCCATGGACTCTTCCAACCCCATGACTCTATGTTCTAATATTTACAAGAGTGAAATGTAATGAGTCCTGGATTAGTTCTCATCTCCTCCTTCATAAGAGTGAGGATCTCTGAATTTGCTGATGAGATGTTCTATCACTAAATGAACTTAGAGAAGACACCCAGATAGGAGTCACTGGATTGGATTGAAGGCAACTGGATGGTTTAGTTACTACTTACCTTTCCCAGTGCTGGCTTCTCACTGTAGCCTCCTCACTCACCTTTCTCTTGTATCCCGGTTCAATGTTTTGTTTTACTGAGCTCAAGATACACAAATCCTCCTCCCCATCAACTTAGGAATGAGAAGGCACAACCAGATGAATAGACAAAGGGATACATATTCTTTTTCTTTTTAATGTAAAGTCAGAGACAACCTCCCGCTTTAACCTCCAAACAAACCAAGGGCAAAAAAAGGCCTCTTTTTTTAGGTTATTCCCAACTTCCAACATCAAAGTGCGCTTCTCCAGGTCCATTGAAAAGGAAAACAAAACAAAACAAAACAAACAAACAAACAAAAAAAAACGAGAGACCAAACAAATGCAATTTGAGAAGAGTTTCTTTTTTCCCCTTTCTTCTTAAAAGACATAGCATTATTTGAAACTTTTTTCTTTCTTTCTTTCTTTCTTTCTTTCTTTCTTTCTTTCTTTCTTTCTTTTCATTTTTCTTTTCTTTTTTTGCAGTCCTTGCCATGTTTTTTTTTTAATCTGGAGCTGTAAAGAGTTGTGCAGGGTGAGAAAGGATGGGGGAAAGGAAGTGTGTTAGCTTTTAACCATCATTATTTCACCCCTTTAAATAATTTTGGATGTGGAAACAAAATGCTGCAGATTTTTTTTCTTTTTCTTTTTTCTTTATAAATGTCTTCATAATGCAAATAATTCAAAGGAAAATAAGAAAGAGGGAGGGAAGGGGAGAGGGAGAGAAGGAAAGAGAAAAAAAGAAAACAGGAAAAAGAAAAAAAAGAGGGAGGAGTTAAATACACAGTTACCAATAAAACTTTATCCTCCAGTCTAATACACAGTTAACTCCATTTACAGCATGCAGTAATGTGTGTAAGGACCCAGCTGAGAAATAATGTGCTAGAATGTTTGATATATATATATATATATATATATATATATATATATATATATATATATATATATATATATATATGCTGTATAGACAGTGAATGTGTGCATGTGTGTGTGTGTGTATACACTACACACACGCACATACATACATACACACACAGCGTAAAAAGAATAAGCATATCAATCAAACTCAAGGTACGGTGAGCATCAACCTTTGAACTTCCAAACTTTATGAAAACAGTGGAAAACCTTCTTCATTTGAACACCAGAATAAGGAATGAGTTACTCAGTTCTGCTGGTGGAGCCCATTGTTTCCATCTCACAATTTCACCTACAAAACTGTCCATTCTCATCCCAATTGATCACACAAACCACCATTGACACTGATGCTCCACAGCCTGGAAATCTAGTTTAGAAGCCCAGTATTCAATTTATTTCATTCATTCGTTTCTTCTTCTTTTTTTGTTGATTTTTTTTGTACTTTTTTTTTAAATGAACTAACAGTTCTAGGCTCATATCAGAAAATATAATTAATAAAATTAATAATGAATCGGAATCCCGTAATATCCATGTAGTACATCCACGTAGTACAATGAATTAATGTCTTAATCGTTGTGTGACGGTGGTTGTTTTCTTGCAGCTGTGCATGATCCTTTTGAAAAGGTGGTTGTGATGGATTGTTTCTCGGTTAGGATTGGCAATTATATGGAGGAGAGCAGAGTCCGTGAAGTGGTGAGAATGGGTGGAAGAAAGCCATGAGATATGAGGTGGCAAACAGGGGATCTGGGAATCCTCCAGATCAGAAAACTGGGATCTCTAAAGAAGAACAACGAAACAACTGAGTCCAAAGGGGCAAAATGATCACTCCTTAGCCAAATGCACTGATTGGTCACCAACAGCTGCAGACTTGTCCATGACAGAAAAAAAAAGGAATAAAAATAGAAAGAAAACAGAATGCTCCATTGTGTTGGAACTTCAGTAGATCATTGGGGATTCTTCTTGATTTTTTTTTTTCAGACTTGTTTTCTTTCTCGCCGAGATTTTGTGATAATATATTCTTGACTATTATGATTATTTTCTGACTTTGTAAAAGTATTCTTCCTTTTCTTTCCCCTTCCCTTCCTCTTAGAATCACCATTGTCGAAAAGGTCAAAACTTGAGCAGGAGGTGTAAAAGAAGCAACGGAAGCAGCCAAACACAGCCAGCTCTTCTTGAGCCACCACTGTTCCCATCATGCACTGCTCCAGGGCCTGAAGGAAGACAGATTGAAAAGTGTCAGTTCATAAGCAGGCAAGATGTGGAGATAATAGGACATACAGTATATAGTTACCAAGTTAACAACAGCAGAAAAAATCAATTGCTACCATGACTGAATTGAGTCTTTAATCCCTGTTGTCCAGCAAATGGCCAAATAGATCTCCTGGCCTAATGTAAAACTAAAGTTGGCTTGCTAGTTTCATATCTCCTGTATTTAAATTTCCATTGTATACATAATGTAATGCAATTAAGAAGTACATAGCCTATCAAACAGTTGTTTTTAAGATCAATCTGAATGCCTTAATCTTTAAATATCTGTGTTGAAAGGTGGTATCAGATGTTAAGGGGTGATTTTTCATGAGGAAAGAACCTTGCCCATATTGGATCCTATAGACCAGGGGTCCCCAACCCCCAGTCTGTGGACCAGTACTGGGCCATGGCATGCCTGCAACCAGTCCACACAAACAAGCAACGCCCCATGTGCGAGATGGAGGCAGCACACAAAACCACACACCCTCCATTCCATGGAAAAACCTCTCTCCACGGAACCAGTCCCTGATGCCCAAAAGATTGAGGACCTCTGCTATAGACATTTGATATATATTTGTAAACAAGTAAAGGATATGTCTCTTAATTTAATACTAATTCATGCTGTGCCCACAGAAACCTCACCATCTTTTTATGCCCTTCAACAAAAGTTGGTACATTTTAACAGTATCCAAAATTGTGCAGCAAAGTCTTTGTAGACTCTTAATTTGTGGCCTAATTAGATGTTTTTTTTGTTTGTGTGTGGGGGGGGGGGGTTGGTATGTAATTCATTTAAGCATAAGCACCATTTAACTAGAGAAAGCAACGGTCTATCCATTCATCCATTCCAAAATAAGTATAAAGATAAAAAGAACGCCAGGGGAGCCAACACAGCACCCAGAGTCATATGCATATGAGATGAGTCACCATATAAACCTAGTCAAAAAAAAGTGAAACAATAAAATAAAATAGAAATGATAATAAAATAAAATGCCAGTGAACTTCAAGTGTTCTTCTAGCAGGCCAAGAATAGATACTGGAGCTCTTTGCTGTTGCCTCCATCCCAGTCAGATGGATTTTAGGAATAGTAAAAAAAAAAAAAATGAAACAAAGATGCAGAGACAAAATTAAAAGAAATTAGCTAATGTTCTCGTTTGGAATGAATTCTTTTAGAAAATGCATTGTTTCCATATTCCCTCACATGCCACTATGAGGAAGGAGCTTTTAGATGTCAAATTGGTTTTATACTTTTCTTTCTGAGTGGAAGAGATAATAGCAGAGCTAAAAAAAGGACATATTCACTGGAGAACTATATTTGGAAGCAGCTCTTGGTTAGAACTTCTGGACACAAGAAGAATGTCGCCTGATCAAGCTAATGTGCTCAGAATTTCTAAACAATGCTTGCCAGAAGGCACATTTAGAATTTTGACTGATTGATTGATTGATGGATGGATTGATTATGTGCCATCAAGTCATTTTCAACTCCTAGTGCCCACACAGATTTTCTCCATGATGGTCCACCTATCAAGCTTAGAATTAGAATATTGAGATGCTGGATATAATGGTTGCCACAATAAGACTGGGCTAAAAATGTGTGAATGGGTTTACTAATACCCATAGTCCCCAACTTGCATAAGTTTATCCAATGTAACACCTGTTTCTCAGAGTGGACACCATGCAACTTTGGAAGCCAACATAAGTCCATATAATAAGTCCATACAATGCAGGACACCAAAGCAGGGAAAAATGACTTTTTTTCTGGAGTTGCCAATGAATTCATGAACTTTTGTAATAAGGAAATGTAGTTGGGCTTAAACTTTAGAAGAATAAATGACAAATTTCAACTATCAGATTCTCCTTGTAACTTATTTTTTTCCTAGACACAAACAAATCCCACTTTCTAACTTACACATCCAATCTGTTTACACACACACATACACAAACATACACACAAAACTGATAACATCGACTGATTTAACAGAGATTATTCTGTTCAACAGCAATGCTGAAAGCTCGGAACTATCTTGATAGTTAAGCCGAATCCTTTGAAATGTTGCAAAAAGCATTGTGAGGAAGACAATAAGGAACTAGTTCCAAAATTGCAGAGAGAACAAAGATATCTAAGCAACCTTTTCTGGCCCTTTGTGATGACACCCATCCAATATTAATTCCTTTGTGCTCATTAAGTGGGCAATAATGAAGCCCTACAGTTATCCCAGAGGAGAAACTCTATTATGCCTTGATTATCTGCCTAGAGCAGTGGTTCTCAACCTTTTTAATGCTGCGACCCCCAACCGGTTGTAAGTCGAGGACTACTCAACCGGTCGTAAGTTGAGGACTACTCAACTGGTGCAGCACCATTTGCAGAATGGGACTTTTGGCGGGCTCAGCAGGGCAGACACAGCCTGGACAATTCCTATTGGCTTTTGAAAGCCAACAGAATTAGACTCTATTCAAGAGAGTCTATTCTATTGGCTTTCAAAAGCCATTAGAATAAAAGGGAGTAGCACAGCTAAGGAAAAGGGGAAAAAATGGCAGACTGTGTTGTTTGGCGACCCCTGTGAAATGGTCTTTCGACCCCAAATGGGGTCCCGACCCACAGGCTGAGAACCACTGACCTAGAGAATGGGAGTACAAACAAACAAATGAGGTGAAAAGGCCTGTCCTGGAAATCCCTGCTCAGACGTCCACCAAGATGCCAGGCTTAGGACTGTTACTGGTGGCTGTGCCACATGGTAACATTCCTTTTCCTCAGAGGCTTCCAAAACTCATAGAGAAAATCCAGAGTTGGCTTAGGTAGCCCAGGCTAAACTGGATTGTTGGAAGATGTAAAATAAAATCTTCTTTTGCTTTGAATTTGATTTCTTTGGAAAAATACTTTAAAAAAGATTATCCCATAATGAACGGCCTATTAAAGGATCTTTTAACAGCCCACATAATTGTGGATGTGTAAGCACATCCAAACACCATGAACAGTACACAAAAAATTGTCAGAATGAGTTCCAAAATAAATAGTCCAGCTTATTGAGGTGGTGAAAAAAAAATGGAATTTATCTTCCACATTTCTACTTTAGTTCCTTCTCTGATTAAGAGCATGTAGTTAATTTGAATTGTTTATTTTTCAAAGAGACGTGAGCATTCACTTCTTCCTATCTCTAAATTGTGCAGGATGGACCAAGCTAGGAAGATGAGCTTCGCTTTTGAAGTGGAACACATGTGCAACTCTGTAAAACAGACTCTATTAAATGTGGACTGAGAAAAGTTGAAGCCAAATGTTTCGTGGGAGGACAAATATAATAACAATAGCAACAATAGAGTTGGAAGGGATCTTTGAGGTCTTCTAGTCCAACCTCTTGCTCAGGCAGGAAACCCTATACCATTTCAGACAAAAGGTTGTCCAATCTCTTCTTAAAAACTTCCTGTGTGGGAGCATTCACAACTTCTGGAGGCAGGTTGTTCCACTGATTAATTGTTCTCACTGTAAAGAAATTTCTCCTTAGTTCTAAGTTGTTTCTCTCTTTGGTTTAGTTTCAATCCATTGCTTCTTGTCCTACCTTCTGGTGCTTTGGAGAATAGCTTGACTCCCTCTTCTTTGTGGCAACCCCTGAGATATTGGAACAGTGCTATGACGTCACCCCTCGTCCTTCTCTCATTAAACTAGACATATGGCAGCAAGTTTCATACAAAGGCAAAAGAATGGGCCTCCATTCTTTGAGAATGAAACTCAGCAGCACTCATTCAGTGAGACTTTACCTGAACTTAGAAACCTATCATTGGTTTGATGTTGTTCACCTGGTCAAATAAGAATAACAGGATGACCGTTCTGCTGTTAAGAGTTTTCTGCTCCACACTTGAATCCAAATGTAAGAATCCCTGACAGATGGCTATCTAGTCTCTACTGGACACTTGCAATGAAGAGAAGCCTACTATCTTTGATCTTTCTGTCAGAATCTCCCTTTCTGAGGGGTCCGTGGTGCTCTCTGAGCTTGGTTCTTGCAGACGTTTCATTACTCAAACTAGGTAACATCATCAGTGCTAGAAGGGTGTGGGAGAAGGAGGACTGTGGGATCCTTGGTGTTCTCTGAGCTTGGTTGTTTTCTTGCAGACATTTCATTACCCAAACTAGGCAACATCATCAGTGCTAGACTGATGGTGTTACCTAGTATGGGTAATGAAATGTCTTGATGATCTTTAAATGTGTTACATGCTTTGAACATGTTACACTTTAAGGTGCAGCGCTCAGAACTGGAACTTATATTGGAGGCTGGAACTAATTAACATGGGCTTAAGTGGCATTACTATGATTTTAAAATCCTACTCTAGTGGATGAAACCTAAACTTGCCATTGCCCTGGGGGGGGGGCAACCAGGGTACTCTCCTGATTCGTGGTCATTTTAAATGAACTCCTGTTCCAAAATCTTCTACTCAATTGCTATTGCCAAGATTGCTATTCCCCCATTCTACGTTTGCACATTCAAGCTTTCTGAGTGAAGAGTTCTGCATTTATCTCTGCTCTTCCAATTATTCAAAGCAATTCTAATGGATAGCACAACAGGAGATGATGTAAATTGCCGGAATAGTCCTACGTGCAATGTTGCAAAGGCCAAGACCTTCACGCATTCAGAAAGCAAACCAATAAGATGATTTGATGTTGTAGCTGCTGGAGACTGAACACCAGACTTCACGTTTGAAATAATCATAGATCAGAAAAGTTTTCTGCTTTTCCTTATGTAACACATCATTAATAGACAAAGATAAAGGAGGTTTGGAAGAAGTGCAAAGCATGAGTGAAAAGGGCCCACAGCAAACTGAAACAACAGTTGTGTAAAGTCCTCTACAATGCAGGTACTCCTCAACCTATGATAATAATTGGGACCAAAGTTTCCATGGCCTATCAAGGTGGGTTGTTAAATGAATCATGTTTGATTTTATGATGTTTTTTGGCCATGGGGGT